GATGTCGCGTTAATTTGTTAATGTTGATTTCTATATAATCTTAATATTATTAAAACTTACTAAAATTGAATTAAAAGTAAAAAGATTATATATTTATGTCTTTAAAAAAAAAAATTAAGATGTTAACACTTTTTAATGTTTTATATATCATTAATAATGTAATATATGTTATATGATAATATTCTGAAAGGCAACAAAAATAAACAATTTAATTTGCATTTTGCAACAATATCTTGATATAAATTAGATAATCAAGATTGCATATTAGATCATATTGCAATTGACATTATTAGTACGGAATATCATTGCGGCATGTCAAATTGATTCAAAGCGATTCGTAGTTAAAAATAAACGGTCGCGTCGAGCAAAATAAAGAATTTTTATATTTCGACGCGGATGAAACGTTGCGGTTTCGATTTCGGGATCAATATTAGTCGGATAAAAAATATTCTTCAGCTCGCGTCAACAATCATATACACATGGTAGACTTAATCGATCTTATCACATATGATTTTATGGCTAAATCTTGTCAGATTCCAACTAATAGTGAGAAATGACTAGTAGTTTGCTATACTAAACGTCTGGCACGCATTACTAAAATATCACATGATTTAATTGTTACTTTGAGGTAACGATCACCTTAACGATCACGTTCTTAAAAGAATGTTTCTTTGTCTTCCGACGTTTGTCAAGAACGATAGGGAAAGAATCGCAACTCGCGGGGTCTTTGTATCGACTATTCGAGTGAGAGAGAGTAGAGAGTACGCGCGTCTCTTTATCCGGTTAATTCAACAAAGCGGCGGTGGCTGACTCGAAGTCGTACTACTGTCTACAAAATACAATTAATACGGTAACTAAGAGTAACAACGCATTCCGCTATAACGTTTCCGCTGTAAACGAGATTAGATTGTCCGTGTAGTCACTATTTAGCGTTATTACGCTCGAACGCAAACGCTGTACGTCCGGCGGTGCTTCCGGTGGCTTTAATTCGGAGGCGTACTTTCATTCGTTCCCATCTTCCAGAGCGGAAGGACAACCGAATTCGGAAAGTGGCAAACGGCCCTAAAATTACTTTTCCCGGCTGCATTCGCATTGCAGCTCGCGCGTTTCCTCGCCTCGCTATCGCAGTACCTCGGTATAGAATAATCGTTTGGCACTGTGTCCTATCGAATCGCGATTCAAGTCACGATCATAAGCAGCACATCGGCGAGAGATCGTGCGAACCTCTGCAACGGGATCGCAAACTCTTTACGCAAACATGCTGAAAACGCAAGAGCGCCCGAAAATTCTCCGAGATCTATAAATCAGAAGTTGCCCCAAAGATTGTGAAATCTCTGATAGAATCTTAGAATTCGGAGATTTAAGAATCGAACATCACGCGCAAACAAATCGAATTTGATTTTAGAATAAAAAGAAGTAAAACGATGATGCACATTATTAGAATATATAAAGTTCGAAAATAATGTGTGGATAATTCTAAATTTGTCACTTCCATAAATTTTTCTTGAGAGAAAAAAGATTTCAATACTAAAATTAGATTAATAATATCATAAAAAAATATGTTAAAGAACTTTTCGTATATATTACAGATGTGCAGCAACATTTTTGAAAACATTTATCATCAACTGTTGAAAATTACAATTGAGTTACATTTACATATCACGTATTACTGTCATACTACACTTCAATTAAATCAATATTAAGTATATATTAATAAAATTAGATTAATATTATTTTACTTCAATTCGATATTGTTTTAGGAGCGAAGATTCCGAAGATTTCCGGGGTTCAAGTTTTTTTTTCCAGACTCAAGAACCTCGCCTCTGTTTTATGACGAGGCGACTTGCAGCTTTTCGGTTATCACAAATCCGATAGTGGAAGTGGAAATGGAACGGCAGTGGGCGGACGTTGGGCAGTTGGACTAACGATCGGAGCGTCAGACGTCATGGAACTGTTTTCTTTAATCTTCTAGTTCGCGCTCCTCGAGTCCGAACGCACGAGGACCACATATATGTGTCCGGCTTATTAGGGCGGACGAGTGTATGTGTGTATATATATATATATATATATATATATATATATATATATATATATATATATATATATGGCGAAACGGCGAGAAATGGGAAATTAAAACGATGTGAACGCGAGCGAAACGCTTCCCGCGCCTCGCCGCGAATTCTCGTTGACATTCGTTGGACACGTTCCTCTTAATAAAATCTCGACACGATGGTCGCACCACCGACCACGGACGACACAATATCGACATATCATCTAATCATTAAATTACATCCTTATCGAGACGGTATAATAATACGGTAATTACGGACTAAATTGGCCTATCGCAGCACCGGGCCGGTCTTGGAGGGAAATTGAATTTTCGCCCGACGGAATAGATTCTTTTCTCCCTTGTTTCCACTTTCTCTCGCTTTCTATTTATATCTTTTTTTCTTTCCTCCTCTCCTTCTCCTTTTCTCTTCTTTCATTTTTAAACACTTTCCTTTTTGGCACGGTAGATATTAGCTGGCAATCTAGAGCTTCTCTTTATTCTTTCTCCTCCTGGCATTTCGTCTTCACATCATTTTTTTCATTTCTCCGATAAAGGTACCGGCCGGCCGGTATCTAGCGATCAACCCTATTCGTTAGATAGCACCTTCGTTATTCAACTTCGTTTCGCGTACTTTCGAGAGCGCGCGAAAGTACACAGAGCAGCAAATACACTATATATCACTTAAGGGCTAGGTAAGTGTTCTGACCAAGTGGAGGGATTCGGTCTCGTAAGTGATCCTTCGAGTTTGCACAAGTTTCCCTAAGAATTGTCTCCTTCTCTCGATTTCTCTCGCTATGAGAACGCACGATCGGACTTGGTTTATGAAGTGGTCGAAAGTTAAAGCTACTTACGAGACCGATCCCAAGAGAATGAGCCGGCCACTCTCGTTCTACTGTTCATAGATGAACAGTACTGTGCATAGATGAACAGTATGTCGTTATTGTATATGTATGTATGTGTGTGTATGTATGTACACACATATATATATACACATATATACATATACATATATATAGCGCACATACACGTATATAAATACCTAAGAGAGCGACTAAATGGAGAGGATTTTTGAAAGGATCGAATATAGACCGTGCAACAAGACGCTACTTCGCGGCTCCCGACGACGAACCTAAATCGCGCTGGTGTCTCTGACGTAGACGGGAGAAACGAAAGATATATATTATTGCTATTCGCATCATCAAGGAAAGGATTATTCGTTCGTTCATTCAGGAATTCAAAGGCACCGGCAACGCTTTCCGGGAGGTTCGCCCTCCCGATCGGTGCCAACATCGAACACGTCATTTTACACGGATGATTATTATAAACGCACCAGTTAAATGAATAATTTAAACCTCTATGGATTAATAGAGAATTCAAAGCAAGATGCACCACAGTTGCAGCGTATTTCTATCCATATCTCGAAGATTATTTAAAAATAATGTTAGGAAAAATACATATATTTATTTATTTTTAATATATGCTTTGGATAAATAAAAATGGATGAATAGACATTCTTTTTCGGAAAAAAGCATAATTTTGTCCATAGAGGATTCATAAATATCAAAACGTATATTACATGTATTATATAATTTTTATACTTTTGTCGTAATATACATAATACTCTTAATCTTGATCTCTTCCATTACATCAAGATTATCTTTGAGTTTCATTTTTTTTACATTAAATTACAAATAAAAGTAAATTTAAAAAAGCCAGAAGTTTCTGACTTTTAAAAAGTTCATCACGAAAAATCGTTTATATGCCTCACCACGCCTCTGACTGCATAATTAAAAATATCTAGTGTAAAAATATCAAGTTGTGGACTTTTAATAACTTATCGTAATTTCCATATAATGTCAACATGTCATGCATGTATAGACCAATTACCAGGCATTTTTCGTGGCAAGAGAATTTGAAAAATTTTTAAAGTACCAAGAACTTACTTTTCCAAAAATTTAGAAAATTAATCTTGAAACGTTAGAAGGGCACTTAATTTAAAAAGTTCATGTAGTTTCTAATTATTATGAAATCTAATTTCCTTAAGTTTGAAATTTGTTTATCTGTATTTTTGAAAAGTAAACTTATCATCAGCAAAACCTTTAAATTTCGCGGAAAGTAAATTTTCATCCGTGTAAAAAAAAGAAAGAAATAGGTTCATCGACGTGTTCGAGTCCGCACGGAGCTCGCGTAGAGGGAAATTATCGTTATCGCACGCGGCATCGTCATCGCGAATTATATTACATGTCGAGTACACATCGAGTATATCGAGGTTAGCTATTACATTACAAATATATCACTTTGTCGATGGAGCACGAAGACGAAGAAGACAACAAAAAAAAGCCTTTGACCGTCGGCTTTCGCCCGCCGCGTCGTTGCGTTCTTTGGTTTTGTTCTTTCTCATTTTCTTCTTTTGGTTTCATATTCCTTATCACAAGTTAGTCTCACTATCGTAAAGCAGAAACCATTGTCAGACGTACTGGTAGATCGTAATATAGTGAAGATCTCGCGCGCTCACATTTAACTACATTCTCCCTTGTCTCTCCGTAATTGACGCGTCTTGTTGGGCCAGCGGCGATGGACAGACGCGGTCCGATTTCTTTCCTCTATCTTTTTTTGCGTCTTTCTTCCTCTCAGTAGAAATCCTTCAGCAGTTTCATCCAATGCTTGTACTCTTTGCGAGCAGAACGATTTTCGCTCGGCAACGATCAGCCGAAAGCGTCAATGATAACCGACGCGGACTCGAGGTATGATCTCGTGAACGATCGAATATTCCAAAATCTGGATTTTAATCTGGATACTAAAGTGCGAATCAGTTAAGCAACATTCAGAATTATTGCCGTTATCGCCTTGCGGCACTTTTATTAGTGGAAGTGAGGAAGTGAGTTTCTGTCTTCCGAATAGCGTTATCGGAGAGAAATAATTAGCACATAAAGTAGATAATTTGCTCCCCGCACTATTACTCTATACGTAACACGTAACATCTGCCGTTGAGCGCACAAAGAGAATGCCGTTTCTTCTATTCTGCTCGTTATTAAAGTGTTATATCTAATATTCTGTGTTATTCGTATCATTTTGCGAGATCAGTCCTCGAGTCATCTCGCGGCGGTCGTGGCGCATCAACGCGCGGAGGGACGTACCGGAGAGAAGGAGGTACGTCGACGCGTTGCTCTTCGGCTCCGAGGAGGCCGAGGCGGATGAGCCGAGTTGCAATCGCGTTAGCGCTGGTGGATGTGCGTGGTGAGATGCTTGGAGAGGTAGTCAGCCCGCGCGAAACATTTGCCGCACATCTCGCAGTGGTACGGCCGTTCGCCAGTGTGGATGCGTAGATGCCTCGTCAGGTCGCTCTTGCCGCCGAAGGCGCGGCCGCAGAACAGGCAAACGAACGGCCGTTCGCCGGTGTGCTTGCGCACGTGCAGCTTCAGATTTTCCTTAGACCTGACGCATTTGCCGCAGAATGGACAAGCGAAGCGCCGCTCGCGGCGATCGGCCTCGCGAGTACCGCTTCGCGCGAGGCCGATCATCGCCTCGGTGGGCTCGTGCCGATCGTCGTCGACGGCATTATCGTCCACGTCGCCGGCCTCACTGCTGGTACCACCGCCGCCGCTGCCGCCACCGCCGCTACCAATCCCGCCGACTCCAGCGGCGGTGGTCTCTGTCATCTGTACCTCCACCGCATCGCCGGGATTCTCCTGAACGCTCGCGGTCTCCGAGACGCTCTCGTCGCCGCGCGCGCCCTCGGAGAATACGCCGCGTATCTCCTCGGCGTCGCCCGGATTCGTCGTGGTATCGCTACCGGTCTCCACCTGGGACGGCTCGCCGGTGCTCGAGACCTGATCGCTGCGCTCGGCCGGCGCCGAGACGACGACGACGCTGCTCTGAGGTTCGGGCGCGCGCTGCAACCGCTCGAGGGCGTGATTGAGACGGTGCTTCTTAAAGGATTTTAGATACCTGAACTGCATGCCGCATACGTCGCAAGTGAAGAGCTTGTCGGCCGGTAGCCGCGCGCGATGATTCTGCTCGCGGTGCTTCACGTAGGCGGACCGGTAGCGGTAACGCTGACCACACTGCTCGCACGTGAACGGCTTGTCGTCGCTGGTCTGGCCGGCGTGCTGCAGCAACGCGTGCCGCTCCAGCAGCCACGGCGACGGGAACGTCGCCAGGCAGACGCCGCAGCGACGCGCCAGTCCGGCCAGGCCGGTGAAGCCGCCGTGGCCAAGGATGCCGCCGCCGGCGCCTCCGTGCGCGCTCGTCCGCTCCACCAGAGCGCCCCATCCGCCGGCTTCCAGCCCGAGGGCGAGCGAGACCTGCAACAGGGAAGGAAATTACGTCGCACACGTTGCGTGACACGCGGTATGACGCGGTACGCGACTTGAGTCGTGAGATTCGAATAATTCAGGTACTTCGATTAATTGCAATCGCTAATTGCATAGCCTGAATAATTTCAACGATTTCCCGATAGCGCCGAAGATCGAGATTAATTCCGAATAATTCAAACAGAATTCGAGTACTTCGAGCAATTTCAATAATTCGTGCGCTTCGAAAGAGATAGCTTCGTACAATTTGAATGATTTTACTGAAAAAAAAAAAGAACCGTGTTTCAACTGATTTCACACTTTTCATTTGTGCTCACGAATGTAGTTTGAATGGCGCGTCGCGGCGGATGTCTCATGGCGGGAATCGTTTCACGCTCCAATGGAAGATTATGAACTATGCACTTACCCTTTGTATCGCACGGACGCGGCTTATGATAGCGATAAACAATCCCTACGGCATAATATCGCTCTGGGTTTCACGCGAGATTGGCTACACGGCGGGGATTGCGTAGCGGAGACAGGCAAGAACACGTATGCACGTGACATATTGTTAACACAAACAGTTTGCAGCTTTTATTTCACAAATTGTTAATTTACAACTATGATATGCATTCGTTCGTCTAAGAACCGAAACAAACCAGGTTTTTTTTCTTTAATGTACTTCTTTTTACGCCAAGCCAAATCAGTTGTGGCTATCCGCTATGATCGGAACGTTCATGAACGCGTTGTCGATGTTGGTGGAGCTTTTACGGACGAGAGTGGGCTTTTTTCAGGAGTTCAGGGTTTTGCCTCTCACGAGTTTCTACGAGATATCGAATTTTGCCAATTTTTTTTTTTCCGAAACGTTCGATTCCTGCCGACATACAGCTGAAATGTATATGTGTACACAAGCGTTCGCGCGTATTTGTATATAAACGCCATTAAATCGAGACTCAGTTAAGCTCACAAATTTCAGGACGCATACGGCTGCGATTTCACGACTTTGAAATTTAAAAATTTCGCGACGTTTAATTCCGGATGAACTTGAAATCAGACTTCTTAACAACCATCTGCGAAACTTGCGGTTCAGATCGAAACGTATCGGATGGACGGAAATGCTCTCAATTCACTCGTTCAATCGCCTCCTCACAGTCGCGTCCATCTTACACGTTCATCTCTACAGTGCTCCAACGAACGCTTGTGCGACGCAAATGACACAATGAGCTCGAGGGCACATCGCGATTTTTGACAATACATTTTCCTATCTTTTCTTCTCACAGGTCGTTCGGAATACAGGCAAGCGTACGACGCATCTGCGATGTCAGAGTCTTCTCACTCAATTTTTAATTCTTGCTTCTTCTAGGTCAAAAATGTATAAAACGACCTTTTTATTATCATAAAAAAATTTTTTCGAAATAATTTTTCTTACATAATAAGGAAATAATTAATTTTACTTATTTTTAAATTAATGCAAGAAGAGATGCCAGATTAAAGCGCGTTTTATAAATCATAGAATAAATAATATAATAATTATTATATTATTTTTGAAACTTATTGTCACTATGTTCAACAATTTAATAAAAAATACGGCAAAAATATTCCGTTTAGAAAATGTGAGATGTAGACTCGATCGCGCACGTGTGTCGGGCATATTGCCTATCACGTATGTACAAAGTTGACATCACGTTGCTCTGCTATCGCCGAACGGCCCGTAGAAATAAACTAGGATATCCAAAAACGCGAGACGCATTGGTCGGTTAGTCGGTAGTCTTCTTTTTATTTCACCGCAACGAAGATCGCGCTTCGATAACTCACATACGTGTCCTATCGCAGCCCGTAATATCTAAGATCAGCAAGGTCGCACTCGGGAGTTCCGAGTATCACGCGATATCGTACACGTACAAAGTGTTCGAAAAGCAGAGAAGAGCAAACAGTACAACCGAATTAAAAATATATCAATGTTGGCAATTGTAAAAAAAATCATGCGAGTATCTTCGAATCTTATCAATGAAAAGCAAAATTATACATCACGTATAGAAATATTAATTTAACACGTTTTTATTAATATTGCGATAAAATGTATTTAAATCGCAATGCTGAAATATTATTAATTATTTTCTTTCTTATTGCAATTCTTATTGTGTAATTAAAAGAATTTTGGAGTAAATCATACAATATACATCATGATGAAAAAATAATTTGTTTAGTTCAGGACAAAAAATGCAAATATATCACATGATTTGCTGTAGTGTTAACAAACGATACGTCCTTTTATTGATATGCAATCGCATTTTTATTTTCGATGTGCTGTTTCTTATACTTCCTTTTCTTTCCTTCCAAATTCTAAAAGTTGATAATTTTATAGTTCTTTTGTGTGTGTGTGTGTGTGTGTGTGTGTGTGTGTGTGTGTGTGTGTGTGTGTCGTG